GGGGTGGTGCCTGAAGCAACAGCCACACACACCCCTGCGCCCCTCCTTCCCCAGGTTCCGGCTGCTTCCCGGAGCGGCTCAGAGGCAGGGCAGGCAGGCAGGGAGCCTGCCCTGCCCCCGATGCACGTTGGGCCGGAGCCGCTCTAGGTAAACGCTGGGGGAGGGCGGGGGGCTGCGAGGAGCTCGCGGGCTGCAGAAAATAACCCCGCGGGCCGTGTGTTTGAGACCCCTGGACTATAGAATGAGTTTGTAACCAGAGACTCTCCTGCACCAAGATCCACTTGGTGCAGGTGTGCGAGGGGAGTTAGAGCTGGTTCCAGCTCCCTGATTCTGAAGCTGCAGCTGTCCAATCCTCAGCATAAGTTAGAGCAGTCCCTAGGCTACTCTAAGCATAAATCAGCTGTGTATGGTCCCTAAGGAACTATATATACTACAGCAGAGAAATAACACAGCCGAGCAGAGTTGCACCCCTCTGGCCACGCCCCGACATGCCACCTTCTCTTCCGATCTAATACTCAATCTATACTTGAGCAAAACTCCCATTGAAGTTAAATGTGGCCATGGAGGAGGCCTTACCCTCTGAGGTGCTGACCCTTTCCTGAAAGGTGTTGAGCCCCTTGCTCCCACTGGCTGGAGTCCCACCTGAGTAGATCCTGATTCTGCTGTCTTTTAAGTCGCAGATGAATTTGTGTGGCCCAACACTTTTGAGTGGTCAGTCTTTTTGGGTGACCAACTTGGGATATCTTGGCTCTGACTCTTTTCAGAGGTTCTGAACACCTGAGGTTCCCATTAACTCAGCTGGAGTTGTGGGTTCTTGGCACATCTGAAAATCAGGCTCATGATGTCTGAACCTGGGTATTAAAAATTCGTGACCACTTCTGAATGTTTTGGTTATACTGACTGCTTTATCTTTTGAGACTACAGCTGAATATACCTTGATTTAAGCCAAGAGGCTTTGAACGGAAGTAAGTACTAACAGATCTTCCTTTCTTAGGTTAAGACAGGTAAAATAACACATAGTTAATCATTTCAGAGAAACTTTCAGCAAAAGACTTTTTCCTAAAGAGGTTTCACTGACTCCTTTTAAAAAGATCTTTGACACACAGCTGCTTCTAAATCCAGGCCAAGTAATTCCTTGGACATGAACATTGCCCTCATTATGGTTAATTACAACAAAGCTTGAAAGGCTCAGGCTTGCTAACCACATTTCCCTCCCTCTCCCCCCCTCCAAAAAAAAAAAAAAAAACAAAAACCCTGCTCTGGAGCCACAGACTTTCCTGGCTGACAAGGCTTTGATTGTGTGTGTTCGGTGGTAGGAATGGATTTAAGCAGGATGTGTTGAAATGCCTGAAAGATCTGTCATGATTTCCATGGAAGATGATTTTTTAAAAAACAAAAACAGCCAAGCAATTCTGCTGAAAACAATATTTAACACAGATTGTCACACACACACACACACACACACACACCCCTCTTCTCCCCCTTCCTCCATGCATTTGGAGGTGAAACAAACTCCTGCGCAGAGCAATGATTAGTGTTTACGTGATGCATAGTTCCTCCGCACAGGAGTGAATTTCACCCAAACTAAACTGTTTAAAAGCTCTCATTCCTACAGCATCAACTCTTCAATAACTACTTCAGGCCCAATTTCATCCTCCGTGTAATTCTCCTGAAGTCAGTGACAGATAAATATGGTTCTGTGGTTTGTGTGATCCTGCCCATTAATGCAAATTGGGATATAAAATTGTCCTCCCTAGGAGCATCTGCTGTTTGTGCCCTATTCAGATAATTTGTGATGGTGGTAGATGCCTTTAGAACTGCTTAAGGGAGATTTCCCGATGCTCAGAGTGCAGCTAGGTGTCCAGCTCCCATTGAATGTCAATAAGTCTTGGGTGTCCAACTTCTATTTATGCTTTTGAAAATCTTCCCCTTAAGTTCCTTTTCCCCTCTCTGTTTTGTGTTTGCTGGTTGAAGCCTCTTGCAGCACCCTGGCTGCCTGTAACTGTATATCTACATTGTGGTTTTGAGAGAAGGGGGAAATAAACACATGTGATCTGGTCATGACGCATGTCCTTTTCATTAATTTCTATTTTTAAGGGCCAGATATGGTGAGGCTAAGATTTAGTAGCACTACAGCAGTCTGACTTCAAAGGCTGGATTCCCTTCATTGCTTAAGTGTGAAGCTGGGGTGCACACAGGCAATCCCCTTAAATACTTCCGCAAAGGAACCTGCTGCATTTTTTTTCTGGTAACTGGGTCTTCAGACTTTGAGGACCTTCTATAAGAACCCCCACCATGGAAACGCTCCCAGGTGTAGTGCTTACTACTGTGAGTGGTCTTACAGTATAATTTCAAGGGGACAATTTGCAGAGGGATTTGTGGAAAAGAGACTGCAGCCCCAGGCTGTTAACTTTGCCGTGCAAACCTTACATAAGGAACCTTCTACATCCCTTCCCAGCCAACACTCTTTCCTCCCTGTGGGCCCACTAAGTGCTCCTTCTGGATACAGGTACTGCAGGAGCAACTGAGTTTCCCTTCCATGAGGATGAGAGGGGAGAGCCACATATGCTTCTGGGAGGCATTGTTCTCTGCTTTGCTCCCCCACTGAAATGCAGCCTCCTCTGGAGTAAAACCCAGTCGCTGTTTAACAGTACTGTGCAATTGTCAGGACAGGCAATGTAGAAAAAAATACTGTATCCTATTGAAACTGCGGGCATACACAAAGCAGGCTGGGTTGCCCACTGTCAGACTGGGCCAGGAAAATCAAGCTCTTGGGCTGGGCTGTCACCAGGAGAGGACAGCGACTTACCAGAGTCTGAAGCAGTGCTTCTCAATTGGCAGGCAGGGAGCGTAGCACCTTCCTTTGTTTTCTTCCGTGCTCAGGACATGATGCTAATGGGGCTGAAATGTACATGCAGGAAGGGCACATGTGCAGGGAATGATCTGTGTGTGAACTCTGGCGTGACAGAGTGCTAGAGACTAACAAGTGATCCAGTCCTCTGATCACTTAGGGTATGTCTACACAGCAAAGAAAAACCCAGGGCTGGCCCATGCCAGCCAACTCAGGCTTACAGGACTCAGGGACTGTTTCTTGCTGTGTAGACTTCCAGGCTCAGGCTT